CCCCCCCCCCCCCCATAACTTACCAAGGCACCTAGGAAAAGTCAATATTTTTATATTTAACCACATTTAAGATAAGTTTTCCTCCTCCATACTTTAACGCCTAAACGTCAAATCACCTGAAATTCACGTTCAAAGAAAATACTCTTCCAATGTCAATATGTGATACGCAGGATTTCAAGTTTTAATAGCGATGTGAGTTTGGATTGTCGCACCATGTAGTCTTTATATTGGATACCAATGTTTAAGAGAAACGCAGGCCTCCAACTTCATTTCATCCCTGAAGAGGCAGTACGTTCCTCTGAAATGTTTGTACCTGCATGGGTCCACACTCAACCCAGAAGACCACCATGGACATCTTCAGAGCTTGTGGTTAATTTGTTCTCTTTCATTTAGGACGTCGTTACCCTGTTGACATTTACTACACAAAGGCCCCAGAAGCAGATTATATTGATGCTTGTGTGGTATCAGTACTTCAGATTCATGCAACTCAACCACTGGGAGATATCTTAGTTTTCCTTACTGGTCAGGAAGAGATTGAGACTTGTCAAGAGTTGTTGCAGGAACGGTCACGCCGTCTTGGCTCTAAGATAAGGGAGCTGATAATTCTGCCTGTTTATTCCAATTTGCCGAGTGACATGCAGGCGCGTATCTTTCAGCCGACTCCACCCAATGCAAGAAAAGTAAGTGCAAGGTGGTTCAGTTTTATTATACGATTGTCACATTTAAATAATTTTTGTACTTTAATTCAAAACCTTTGTTCATTTACCTTATGAAACTGGTACATCTTAAGCGCCCTTTGTCTTACTTCCCTGTATAACGTAGAGGTTCATTTGAAGGTGATATTTCTGTAGTGTTACGTGTAGCAGGAACTGTTTTAATAATGGACTTACACATATGTTTTGGTGTCTCTTTCAGGTGGTGCTGGCAACTAATATTGCAGAGACATCCTTAACCATAGATAACATCATTTATGTGATAGATCCAGGATTTTGCAAACAGAATAATTTCAACTCACGTACGGGCATGGAGTCCCTTATAGTTGTGCCAATCTCAAAGGTATTTTTTTTTGATGCAGTGATATTCTGTATTATTCAAAGTAAGACAGGTCGGAAAATCAGAATACACAATGATTTTATTTAATCAAAAATGATTTTGCTGTTTTTGGAAATTTCTTTTACGTAGAGCCAGTGTAAGTGGTTTTGTTTTATGATCATTTATAATCTGTCAGTAAGTATCCACTGATTAGTTAAAAACATTAATACGAACTTAAAATATTGTATAAAAATCTTAAACCATACCCTTTCACAGCTGTTGTCGATAGTTAGTCATATGCGTGAAGCACTGCATTTTCATATCTTCTTATTTATGAATACTGAATGAATTTTGGAAACATTCTGCCTCCCAGGCCTCCGCGAACCAACGAGCAGGGCGAGCAGGTCGTGTTGCTGCAGGCAAGTGCTTCCGTCTCTACACAGCCTGGGCATACAAACATGAATTAGAAGATAACACGGTTCCAGAGATTCAGCGCATTAATTTGGGCAATGCTGTGCTGACGTTAAAGGCTCTAGGAATTGATGATCTGGTTCATTTTGATTTTTTAGACCCTCCACCTCATGAGACACTGGTGAGAAAATTATTCCAGCACTGATCTGTGTTAATGTTGTGATGACGATGATGTATGTGTCACTATTATGAAGGAAATTGGCCAGAATAATAAATTCATGTGAACCTCAGAAGAGATAAGGTGTTATTCAGATCATGAGGTCTGCTAGCATACTTCTCTTCCACTATTTATAATTGATAGTGTCAGGAATATAATGGACTCATGCTTTAATTGAATGGTTTCAGATCATAAGAGGGGGATAATATGTTCCAGATGCTCCATATGCAGTATTAGAAAATCAGACTGCAGAAAGAAATAAAATAAACTAATTGCTCCTAACATTATGCAGAATCTCAAAGTTGAGATACAGTTGTTGCTTTTTAAAAAATAATACTGCTAAGATTAATAAAATTTTAAGATTTGAATATTTGTATTTAACAGTACTCCTGAAGAACTGCTTAATATTGGCCTTGTAGAAGGGAATGTGGAAGATCATTTTATATCAGGTACTATGAAGCTGTTACGTTTTGTTTCATGGCAGGTGTTGGCGTTAGAGCAGTTATATGCTCTTGGGGCACTGAACCATCACGGAGAACTTACAAAATTGGGCCGTAGAATGGCTGAATTTCCTGTTGATCCTATGATGGCAAAAATGATACTTGCTTCAGAAAAGTAAGCCATTTCACATGCACATTTAACAGTGTTTGGTTTGTATCTAGCACTAATTTATCACAACCACATAAAAATTCCAACGAAACCAACATATGTATGTTATCCTCATATACTGAGTGTGACATTGATTGCAGTTTGTCAAATTTTCCTGAATGTTTGTGTACCATTTCTGAACTGTGCAAAAACAGACAAAAATGTTTAATCAGGTGTTTTCTGTGATTGCAGGTACAAGTGCTCTGAAGATATTCTAACTATTGCTGCAATGCTGTCTGTCAATGGTGCAATTTTCTACAGACCCAAGGACAAAATTATCCATGCTGACGCTGCAAGACGTGGCTTTTTTACCTCGGGTGGCGATCACCTCATGCTGCTTAATGTTTACACACGCTGGGCTGACTCTGAATTCTCCACACAGTGGTGCTACGAAAATTTCTTGCAGCATCGCTCTCTCAAACGTGCACGTGATGTACGCGACCAGTTGGCGGGGCTCATGGCGCGTGTCGAGATAGATCTGGTTTCAGGAGCAGGTGACACTGTCGGTATCAGAAAGGTAATATGTACTGAAACACACAGCACTGTACCTGAGATTCTTACATCCTGCCTGATTTAAACTTCTTTTTTTTTTCCCTGTACAATGGTCATATTTTCGTACAATAAAATTATAATGCAAACACTAACCACATTGAGTTAAACGACAGGAAGAATGCTATGTATTTTAAATAAAGTAACAGTAATATTAATGTCTAAAATCTTACTTACTCATATTGGTATTGTATTTGCCAACTCAAGGAACTTCTATCCACATTTTGTTCTTGAATTTCAGTGCAAATATAATACCAAAGATAATCAAAATTATCGCCCAGTTTCATTTCTTGAAGTGCACTTGTCTTCAGATGTATTATTTTATATATTAAGTCTGTAATAGCGAAGTACAAGGAAGCAGTCCTTGAGATGAAAATACTCATTCAGCTACTCAAGATATTCCCTGCCTTTTATAGAACTTGAAATTTCATTACCATAAGATGTGAAGTTCTCATAGAGATGAAGATGTTTATCTTGGTCTTCTGGGTTTCAACACCATGTAGACTTATAGGTAGATACCAATGTTTTGGAGGAATGCTGCCTCCATCTTCAGGGCTAGACTAGGGGAATTGGCCAACCAGAGATGAGGAATGAGGAGGAGACAATCTGGGCCAGGGGAGGAATGAAGTGGCCTTTTAAGGGGCCAGGGAGGAGACGGGATCAAAACGAAGTTTAATCTATTGTGGATAGAGAAGAGATCAAGGAGGGGACTTCATGAATCCAAGGCTACATAAATGGAAGACAGTGTTATCTGAGGGACAAAGAAAGGAGGAGAGCTGAAAGTGAATGGGTGGATCAAGAGGGGAGAAACCAATATTTATGTAGGTGCTGAAACGTGAAAACATTTGGTATGACAGTGTACCAGTGCACAGTGAACAAAACTAAAAAAGATGAGTCACCTGACAATGAATATTATTGTACATAAGCAGACCCTTTTTATAGAAACTAGTACTTGGTTTTCCTGTTTCCTTATTAAATTACTTTACGGGGCCTTTTTTCATCTCTGCAGGCCATCACAGCTGGATACTTCTATCATGTGGCTAGACTGTCTAAAGGTGGTCAGTACAAAACAGCCAAACATCAACAAACAGTGATGATACATCCGAACAGCAGTATGTTTGAAGATCTGCCTCGCTGGGTGATATATCATGAACTTGTGTTCACCACCAAGGAGTTCATGCGACAGGTGAGGGTGGCTGTGACTGCTGTAGTTTTGGGTGATTAAATGGTTAGCCTTCCCGTCTGGTGGCAGTAAAACCATAAAGATGACTGTGTTGGGTTTTCTTTTTCAGGTGACAGAGATTGAAAGTAAATGGCTACTTGAAGTGGCGCCGCATTACTACAAACCTCGTGAGCTAGAGGATTCGACAAATAAAAAGATGCCCAAGATGACAGGAAAGTCTAAAGCAGAACTAGGAATTCACTGACTGTCATTAAACAAAGTTCACAGGTGAAACACCAAGTGTCTTTATGGTGCATCACAAATAAAAACATTATTGTATTTTCACTTTGTAAATATTATCTTCCCACGTCTAAAAGTCACACTTACGCTTTTTTGTCTTAGAGGAAGAGGTAACTACCATCCTACTTTTCTTTCTCGTCATAGAAAGTCATTGTTCTTCCAACTATTCAAACATCTTCCTCATTTTGTACCAAAAGAGAAGCTTTCTGTGCTTTGGTACTGTGTAAACTCATCAGTAGGTGACAACAGTTTGGAAAATCATACTGTCTCTGCCTTCAGGGCTGAACAGTGACTTTCTAAAATATTCTTAATCTTCTATTTATATTTAATCTTAATGTTCAAACAGAGAATATACATGTATTCCACATTATAAGGGACAGATAAAGGTAATTTTGCAAGGATAAACAGTAAATCTACATGGAAAAAGGGGAGAAGGCAAAAATACACTTTTGACATTAGCCTGTTTATATTAAATGATCTGTCTAATGAGGTGACAAATACATTAAATAAATGAAGAAAATGGAAATCATTTGGTTGGTTTCTTCCCAGAGAAAAGGCATCATTCAACTGAGTGCAGATCTTGGCTACGAGTGTTTTACAGCAAGACCACACTGCTTATTTGAACTTTATACACAAAAACTCAAATAACGATACACTTCTGTACCTGTTTCTTGTTGTGTGTTTGGCATTCACTTGATGATTCATAACAACTGTTCCTTACTATAAAGAGACATAAATTTTGTAGCAACCAGTACTCCACAGTCAATAAAAACAAGAGCTCTCTTCAAATATACCAACCAAAGACTCCTGAAGTTAATTTTATCATTCATACTCGAAAACTGGTAGACTACAGGACATATTACATAATGTAACTCACAATACAAGACCACACCATGTCACAACTATGAAGTGTGGTGAAAGTTGGGTTACCTGGGACCAAACTAGAAAAACTTCCCAACAAAGCAAACAGTAGAGTTTAGAAACCCAACTTTTACCACGACTTCCTACCTTGTCTTGCTGAGGACATAAAACTATACGCTTCTGACATCCTGGAATCAGATGTCATCTCCTCGGCCAACAATTTTATCCGGACACCGAACACGAATTTGTCTAATCCTAGCACATAGCTCATACCAGACAACATTTTGAGCAACAATATTTTAACATTTACCAAACACATGTAATATAAATTGCCATGACCACTAATTAGTCACTGATGTACAGATCATAATTCTGTATATTCCTTTCTGTCACATAACTAGTGAGATGAATAATTAAATATGTAGCATGATAATATAATAGTAATATTTCTTCTCGTATGTTGTAGTAAGTTAATCACAGTAGAACGGAGGCAGTCTGAATACTTACATTCAGTTCAACATGAGTAGGAATCGTAGGAGGTTCATATATTTATATCACAATCGCTTGCACCTGACCGACCAGAATTCATCCTGGAAGCAGTCAACTGTCATGTAATAATGCCCAAGACTTGCAATAGTTCAGCACCACGGTACAGTAAATGTAATGATTCAAGCTCATATTATTAAGTTAAATATCGTACTGTTAACATTCTCCAACGACGGACGTCCCTAACACCAACATCTAATAAATATCCTAACACACGATTATACATTTAATTAAACAAATTATAATACGAAATGGCAAATAAATTATGTGAGTAAATATAAATGTTCACTTTTCCTACTTACATTTAATGAATATTATTTTTACAAAAATTGTGCTTTTCTGTCAGAATGAGGTAGTAAAATAGGGCAGCATATCTGCTACTCAGTTTATGAGACCCTGATGATAAGACAAGTTTATGGTCACATAATACAAAAACCAATGCCCCATCATTCAAATAACAACATGAAACAACGAATCAAAGAACTCAAGCCTCAATTAACTATTACCGGGCAGGCTAGAAAGTGTCCATGAAATTAACAGAATGCAACAACTGTTCACACAAAAGAATTAGCTTCTTACAAGCGTTGGGTATGAACACAATAACAAGGCTTGTGCGTTGCCCCAATGGACAGTGTGGAAAAAAAAACCACAACTGTATAACCAGTTCACAGTTTTAACACATCTGGAGGGGAAAACTGCACAAAACATTAATATTTGTGAGCAAGGCAGACATGCGGTGTAGTGGAGGTATAGCTCCATGCACTCTTAACCTCGGCATTAGATGGAGATGAGAGGACAGTTTTAAGCCCTGGTCATTTTACCCCTGATGGCAGAACCCCAGTACCCACTGGGTAGAAAGCTGAATGCAAACCACATCCTGTCTGGGCATTGAGATGAAGAGTAAATTCTTGCCCTGTTGGGAACTGAACCCCAGCCGACCATACCAAAGCCTAGTCAATATATGACTTTAAAGATTCCTGAACCAAAAGTGTGGTATTACATACACGACATAAAGGAGCGAGACCCCATCTTCACACACAGTGTATTGTACAACACATTGTTATATGGACTGATTTTAATATGCCACTGATGATCACCTCATGAGGTTGAAATGCGTATGGCACGATACACTTGTGTTATACTTGGCACTACTCTCAGCTCCTATAGAGGACTCGCATGAAGTGGAAACATCTCGGGAGGAGAAAGATGATGTGATAACACATACGCACAACACATGGAAGAAACTACTTCTTTTGATGTTGCATCTGAAGTTACTCCGTTTTCATAAACTGTAATGTTCACAAACATTATTAACACAATGCAACTAACTGTCCGTGCACTACAATTCCTTCAACAATCTCAAGAATAATGTTGTCTACTGGGTATCAAAAATATTTAATTGCAAAAGTATGTATTGATGTATCCTGTACAGGCCTATGGTCTGTGTCACTCGCCGACACTGATGTAACAATGAAGCGACAGTTTAGTATTTTCAGCTCGTCTCCATCCCCAACGTACAACGGCAACATGACGACAGTCAAAACAACAGACATTAACAACGAGTAACCGCACAATAACGTTACTTTTATTTACACCTAAACGGCTCCAGCAAGACAAGGTTACAGACCGTGTTCTGGGTCACGAGGCCGTGTCGTCTCGCAACCGGTTACAGATATTTCAAACAATCTTCCTGAAGAGGCAAGGGATATGTTCCTCTGAAATGTTGGTAACCACATTCAAGACTACAGTATCATAAACCAGAAGATCACAATCCACGTTTCTCACAATCATGAAAGCTGTAAGTCTAGCAAGACTGCAAGATTAGCCTGGCAATAATAACCCAGTATTAGTGAATGGTAATAAATTCTGCTAATCTACAATAAAAGTCTTGGTAAGGGAAAAAATGACGAGTAACAATATTGCGTCCAGCCATTCCATCCCAAAGCTGCTACTCAAAGACAATGTCTGGATGAGAGTTCCTGATTTCCTTATTGAATGAGGTACTTCTCTAAACTATTGTACGTGCAAGTATGAAATAACTTGCCAAGATAATAAATTATTACAATTACTGTTCTATTCAGGAGCAATCATCTATGGTTATACAAACTGAACACTTCCAAATAGTGAAGATATTAAGTAGTAAGACTCAAATAAAAATCTGTGTCTTGCACGCACTTGTCACTGCATACAAGTCAAGACACAAATGCTAATGGTGCCATGTTGATTCTGCTTGAGAAGAGAATGAATATGGCTCACCTACACAAATCTCAAGGCATGGCTTTTAATCAGGACAGACATATCATAGCTTTGTTTAAAATTTTAGTTTTAGGAGTAGATTTTATAATGTTAACTGTATTGTACGGTTAATAATCCTGTCCAGGCACAAGGATTGGTATTTTCCCATTATTTTTCCACAGTGAAGATGAAAGACACGATACAGTAAACCATCGATTTAATGGACACATGGTGTTAGCAGACATTTTCAGTTTTAAAAGACTTTATTAAAATAAAAAATGCCTGATAATTACCACTGGATTTTTTTGCACTTAATTATCTCTTCACACTGTAGTGTGTAATGAACCTTGTGCTATTGTACACGTGCACATTATATTATTAACTGAAAAAATGGTGTTCCTAATGGAAATTATGGTCTAAGGACACATTACTGGCATTGTAAAAATAACAATGCAATCTAACAAACGATCAGCATTACCAGGCACCCCCTCCCCCGTATTAATCCATTGAATTGTGGGTTTACTGCACATTAAATGGTAAACTAATCACCAAAGAATCGTTAGAAATTAGTTACACTAAAATACGATTGCCAGATCCAATTTCCACTAGTACCCAACTGCAGATAAACATAAATACCACACAAAATACTCCGTAGACTGTATGTAAAGAAGGAAGCAAAAATGAAAAGATGTGTGAAATGTAACAAATGTTAAGAAAAAATCAATGTACCACAGCTCTGGCAATCCTCTGAGATGGTCCCACTTTTCAAAGCAGCTTCTAATTGATTATTCACCACAAACCTTCCATTCTGAACTGCACATATCTGTTATGCGATGAGAACAAAGAGATGTCCGAACAAAATGGCGCTGCTAGTCAGATGACACAAATCAGGGCTCAGTGGAGTCGCCTCTTCTTAAAATCTAAAAGCACAGAAATTGGCGAATGTTTATGTTCTAGCTATGTAGTAGCAATTAAAGCAAACACCACATGCCCCCTGGTAGCAAAACCTGCAGGTCCAACATGGACAACACCAAAGCCCACCACTGGACACAATCCTGAGCCGACTCCATCCATTTACCATCCTCACAGCACTACCTAGCCACTTTGCTACAAACCACATTGAATCCTCAACAGCACGATGTACGATAGAGGCTAATAGGATACCCGAGATAAAACAAAATCAAATCAGTAACATGGCAAGCCTGAACTCCTCAATGATGGCGAGTACTTACTCTTTGTTCCTCTGAAATTTGTTCTTTTCTTTGGAGCCCCTGAAGGTCCAGATGCACCTGCACCTCCTTCAAGAGCACGAAAATCCCCAAACCGGGTAAGTTCATCCCCTAAGGTACCAAGTGTGGTAATTTTGCGACCCCTGTGATGCTCTTGTTTTGTCGTCGGGAGTCGCGTAAAGTAGCTCTCCTCATACCTGAAAAAAAAAGACATCTTGTGTGTTGACTGACAATGGTGAAACTTTCAAAGTACTGGAAAAAAAATGGAACATAATATATTGTACTCTGAACAGAATACCAGTACTTGAGAAAATAGCGAAAATTAGTAAAATGCACCAAAATACTGCAACTTACTCCTCCTTATGGCGATGTTGTTGCGCCAGCGTTGCCTTAGCTACGTCACGATGCGATACTTCTGACGGGCGATCGAAGTACTCTTCTTGCAGTTCCTGCATTACGGAGCTGCCCAAGGCCCGTTTTCTAGCACGTTCAAGAGCACGTTGCTGTTTCTCCAACCAACTCTCATCACCATCTGAATATGTCACACGGGTAAATAAAAATGCTTCTGCACACTAATACCAGCCTATGAAATCACACAGGCATTATCGGGGTAAGACAATAAGCATTCTCTGACAGCAACACCAGATATACGTGGGGATCCAAATGCAGTTCCAATCATATCAAGCTACAAGTTATGTTTCATCCAAAATCAGTTTCAACACAACACCAGGGGCAAGATAAAGTACCAATTAATGTCTAGATAATAACAAAATGTGTAACATTTACTTACCATAATGAACAGCAGCAAGTTTGGGTGGGACATACACTCCCTTCTTCATCTTGTCTTGTTTATTGTCTGCCTTATCATCTTCACCATCTGACTCACTTTCTTCTGAATCATCCACCTTACTTATCATGTTTTCCGGATGTGCACGGAAGTGAGTTGGATCAGATCCTCCTGTAGGGCCCGTAGCTGCAGTCTTCACTAATTTGTCAATTTGATGTTTCAATTTGTGATCGATGGGACGCATTTTCTCCAGTACTGTGCGTATTTCAACCAGACGATCTGAAATAAATCACAATATAATAAACAAGCTTAAACACTAATGTCACTAAATGTGTATCTCCTAGTTCACTACTCCTACATCATATAAGAATTTACCTCAACCAATAATTCTCAGCTATTATAAATACATGTAAGAAATAGTACTTATTCTGACTTGCATAATTATTTTTGTGGTAATACTGTAAATTACTGTCATAACTATATAATTTGTATTAGCATTAGAAACAAATATTGTATTTATGCTATGACTTGTTCTACATCCTTGACCTGTGCCTATGAAGTATATATGCAATGTAAACTAATTCTTGTTTATACAAAAACCAATAACTTAATGACTTGCCTATGGCTGGATCTCCTTCAATCATTTTACCAGAACACTTTCGCAAGACAACGTATGTCAGGTTGATGAGGTAGCTCAGAAGCATGTGATACTTCATTTCTAAAAAGCTCAAACCCTGCAGTATAAAAGAAAACAAAGGGTAACAAATTTATAGCAATGACATGCAATAAGAACAAAATAAACTGTAATGCACTTAAGTATTATTGGAAATTCAAACTCACTTTGTCTGTGGAAATTTCTCCTCTTTTCACCCGGGCAAGCATGTTGTCAACTAACTGTGTAACTTGCTGCACACTCTCATTCATCTCTCGTAACAGTTGAAATGCCTGGGGCAAATCTTTGGATATTATTTCATCTAATGCCTACAAATAACGTAATTAAATATAACCACCAACATATACAAACTATTTGCGTATATCTGTTTAATATGGAATGTTTTTAAAATAATGTCAATACAGTCGTGTATTTTGCAACTTATTTTCAAAAGTGAATAATGCTGCCATTTTCCAAACCACAAACAAAATGCTGGGAAAGAAACGAATAAAAATTAAGCTAAATAAAAATGATTCGTTACACAATAATAACACGCATACTGTACTCGTTATATGCTAATACTAAACTTACATACCTGAACCATTGTTTCGATTAATCATAAAACCCTTACAAATTGCATTTCTCAAGTTAAACAAGTAGAAAATATGAAGTCCCACGTGGAATACTCAGCCACTAGCCATATTTTTTCCCATGTCAAGTAGTACATGAGTCAAGGTAAAATAGTAAAAAGAAATGTGGAAGGTCCTATATCTTTATAAAGATTATTACATATATTCTATAAATTAAATTTTGAAAAATATAATAAAAATGTTCTTACATATCCATAAAATTATTTTAACGAATGAATTTGACTTTGTAAAGAGCCGTTTGTTTCTTCGCCTTTTCTGTTCCAGTACCACCAACCTATGTGTGATAATAACAACGCGTCTCTTGTCGGGCCGTCACGGAATTAATCAAATTTGGAAGAAACAGACTAGACCGATAAATCCTGTATAGAATGCTCATTTAATGTTACGGCACAAAGTCAGGATTTTATAATATGTAACTCATGAGTTAAAATCACATTTGTTGGTGGCTCAACTTGTCTCCATGAGACATGAGCGAATTAATGCTAGTGAAATGGGATATTAAGTTACAATTAATAACATCACTCTTTATTTTTTAGTAATCGTAAAGAAAACAGGTAAAAATATACATTTGGATGAAAATTTTGGTATACCTAATACATATATGCATGATTTTATTTGACACCAATCAGAATTTGTCCACTCTCATTGAAGCATGCCCAGCCGGTCACAGAGTAATAATTATTGCCCATCTGATATGAAATGAGAGTTTGAACACCTCTTAGATGAACATTACACCTGGATGAATGCGCAATATTTGCTAGTCCATCATATTCCAATACCAGCATTTAACATCTTTGAAAAAAGTCGAAGAATACAAAACTAAATAATCCATCGCTCATTTGCTCTAACTTTTAATAATTTCAGCAATACATTTAAAAGTTCTTGACATTTCACAGACTTCTTATTAACTGTCAAGGTAAAATCTGTAGTTCTCACAATGACCAATGTCCTCAGAAGTTTAACCTTGTTAGTACATATAACATTTGACATTTTATGAACTGTACGTCTTAAGAAAAACATAAAATGATGGATGACACAAACATTAAGCAATCCTCTTCAGTCACCGAGTATGGAGACAAAAATTCTCCAAAACACTGAAATAGTAATGACACATCTGATTGCTGAAGACAACTCCACTGTATCGGACAGCAAGACTAGAAGGAACCCTCAAACACAAGACAAGACTCATCAAGTCAGTTTTTCTCATTTTCACCCCCAAATCTATTCCATCCAAAACCACTTCTGATTGCCTTTGAAAATCGGAACTGTTATGCTGTAAATAGTATTTTATTTCCATATTGAAAATTTACATTTTCAGTCTATAGTGAAGATAACTTCCTTCAATAAATACATCATCTGTAACTGAAGTGTTTTCGGTTTGATGCAGTAAGAATTCAGTAATGAGGCTACTGAGACTAATCCAACCAGAACATTTGGAATAATACAGCACTTTTGATGGAAGCCACTGAAAGCTCTCCCTCTCTGCTCATAGTCTTTTCCCCTCTTGTGAAGATATATTTGTATGTCTATGCACTCATATTGCAGTGTTATTTTTAACAGATTAGTCTCAATAGCCCAATATCTCAGGAAACAAGACTTGTCACATCTGCAGTTATCAGTATGTCAGTTGGTGAGTCAATGTGACATACAATTGACCCTCCCATTTACACATAATCTTCATACATGGCTTCACTTACACAAAATCAATTACCTGGCTATGATTATTCTATTTATAAATGGAATGGCCACTTGGCATCCCCAAAAGTCCGGTAGATCCTCTTTCCATCACTCTACATGAACCTGTCATTTGTCCATCTCATATGCCGACGACACTTTCCTGTACCTTCACTATTCTTAAAGCCAGCAGAGTTTTCAGCTTTCATCCAACAATGTCACAGTGTTCAAGTATTTTAATATTATAAAAAAAAAAGATATCACTTACCTTAGTGTTAATTATTACCACTTTCAACAAGTGTTTATCATGAGCTTGAAGACAAAAGTGAGGGAATTCAGACTCACACCATTTAAAAGTTAACTTTACAAAATCAAGTCTAATTTACAATACTTTTTGAAAGTAAAATGTTTCCATGTTTTTCATCAGACACTTCATAAACAACTACTAAATATTGCAACCCAGTCACACTATATGATCTGTTTCCTCAAAATACACAAAATGTCTCAGAATCATCACAAAGATACCATACAGGAAATCTACATCTGCTGTCCAATAAGTAAACTAAGTTTAACTTTCATCTGGTATCATATCGAAGTGAACAAAGTTGCGTGAATTGGTGTGTTCTACAACCATAAAAAATTCACCCACATTCCACTGTCGTGACATTAATTTTAATCTGTCACAAAACGTGATTTCTAGAAAATACAAGAGAGTAAAATCAATTCTCCACACTGGATTATAATAATAAACCAAAAACTTGAGTTCTCATTTTCCAGACATCATATCAGTGCACTGTATAGGAAATACACTGTTCTACTGCCATTTTAATAATATTCTATTCAAGTATGTGAACTGCAGATCTCAATATACAGCCATCATTTAAAGTTTAGTAAAAACTCCTAACAAAGGCTCTGAAGATGGCTGTCTTCTGGGGTGTTGTGCCATGTAGTCTGGTAGAAGTTTACCGACGTTTCAGAGGTCCTTGCTGCCTCCATCATATGGGCAATATGGCGCAACAACCCAGAAGACAGCCATCTTCAGGCTAACTGCCATGAAAACCTCAAATCCCAAAGACTTTCACTCTCCTTCTGACTGAGTAAGTACACTCCTAGGAATTCTCTGCTGATGTTTATATTTTGAGAACAGAGAGAATACATTCAACTGTAAGTGGTTTCAAACACCCATATTTCTCCCTACTATCCTATGACTGGAAATATCAGGATCTTTCCCACCTCATAAACAGATTCTTTTCACTTTGTCCTGTGGGTAATGGCCAGGAAGGATGATAAAATTACAAATGAAAATATTCACTACAAAGATCTCTATGAGAAGAATAATTGAACCCTGCTTATGACAAGAGTCGTCCAGTGAATTTAAAACAAACTCTGTACACCAATTTGACTAGTTAAGGTTGCTCAGGTGTGCAGGCAGGACGTTCATATTCACATTCTGATTTGAATGAAGTTGAAAACTCAGTAATACTCATTGCCTGTTTTCAGAACAGATTCTCTGAACTGCAGTGCAAAGTATTATCAGTACCAGGCAGCTACTTCCTGGATTAAAACCCCTCAATTTTAATTCACATCAGAATTTAAACCTTCATAAATGGGCTTATTATTTTGGTCTGGGATTTTTAAATTTTAAAATGTGAAAAGTTTTGGGAACATGAACTATTCATAAAACAGACTATTTACTCAAAACAAAGAACTTTTACCAGCAAAAGTAATGAATGGGATCTAACTATCAGCATACTGCAATGAGACGTTAAATTATTTTCACGATAGTGTAGAACAGACACACAACAGTTCAAGCAGCTCTTGAGATTACTAATTGTGATGTGTAAACCATTCATAAATCAATTGTACCTTCTGCTTCATATTATATTCATGTTAATACTGTTCTTTAACAACATAATTATAATTTTGGTCACAGAACGATGGTTACGTTTATTATACCTGTTCTCTCGTGCGCGTGCACACACAAATTAAATGCAGAATTCACTCTCTTCACTGTTAGCACAGAATGCTTATTATTTCTTCCAGGTTTGGACAGACAAATTATGTTTATTATACTCGCATGCCATCCTGTTTGAGAGAATGAGTCACCAACTGTCGGAACAATGATTTTGCTGGCACATGACAAGACATTCACTTCCTACATCAACACTGTTGTACGTTCAAATCATTGTTCTGACGCTACATTAAGTGTCCAATAAAGACTCATTCACTGCCCATGACACACTGGTTGACTGCAATGTTTTAGCTATCAACAAATTACACAATGGTCCCTCTTTTTTATTATTTTCTTCACATTTATAACAGACTCCATTTTTTTACCCCTGCTTCCACTTGAAAAATTTCAGAGCAACCTGGAAACATTCACTGGTAAATAGAAAGCAGACAGTAAATTTGTATGTCTTTTAGGAGTTCAGTCAATCTTGACAGCAGCGTAGATCTTACGAATAAAGGCATAGGCAGCGAAGAAGCCGATACTACCAGTGAGAAGCCAGAATGTGAGAACCATGATACCTGTGTAGCCAAAGTACAGTAACGTAGGAATGAACTCGGTGATCTCGAGTTTTGTGAAAAAGTAGAAAATGGAGTATGCAAACACATAGACGGCAGAACCACCAGACACAATGAAGCTGCGCCACCACCAGTGGTAATCCTGAAACATGAGCTAAAATGAACAGACTGTTCATTCCCTTTGGCTACAGCCTGTAATGCTGAAAGACTTCAGGGTTAGAAAGTTCATCCGTAGAATTACGTATTATTAATCCATTCTGGAAACAGTGAGTTATTGTTTGAATTCATTAAAATAACATCATATCTCATGCAAGTTTTTTAAAATCATAAACACATGAAATTAAAATAATCTGGTATTTCATCGTCTCCTGACAGAATTAAAATATGAAAGTATATAGCTTATTTCTTTTCATGACGACCCACTCTTTCATTGTTGGATTTTACATAATGGTGGTGGTCTTAAAGTAACAGTGAAATACTGTACATACATAATCTCATGACAGTTTAAACGTGCGAAAAAATTACACACTGTACTACGAAGAATAGCGTGGACAGTGAGGATCTTCTGAATTCTAAACACTTGAACATTTCTTAGTGGTGGTAGAGCTCTAGGACCCACATAACCCCACAGTGAGAGTAACTGTACTTGCAGGTACAGCTGGAAACAGCCTAAAGCTTGTTCATGTCTAGAACATGAGGATGGCACAGTCATAACCCAGAAATCCAAAGTAAAACAATGAACTTACCTCTCCACATAACTGGAAATACACCATGACAATTGAGATTTGTGAGCACGATATCACAAGAATGATAAACACAAGGAAAAGGAACCCAAACATGTAGTAAAACTGGTTTTCCCAGATTGCCGTGAAAATGAAGAAGAGTTCGATGAAGACTGCTCCAAAGGGCAACACACCTGCCATCATGGTGCTGAAAAGGAAACAAAGGTGTAAGATTGTGAAATGGAAGAGCACTTCCTTCAAGTACGTAACAATTAATATTTTGTCACACTATGAATTCCACTAACAAAACTTAGAAGAGATGTAAAATATCCAAACTATTTAATTCAAACTGCCTTAAATGTGCCTCTTTCATCCTATACACCTAGAAATATTATTCTCATTGGATAATAATAACAATGCACAATTTATATTAATGCTGGAAGCACAAGGACGAAATGAAGCTGAACGTATATTTCCAACATCCATTTTACTGGAAGCGGTTCATCATAGTTAAGAAATATGCATAAAGATTTCTTGAAATGTTGTGAAACTCTTAGCAATCTTATTAATCCATATATACTTTATAATTACAATTTTTGTCTTCAAGTATACCAGTCTATCTGATTAACCAAAAATCTGTAAACATATTACAAACATTCTCTCAAGACCAAACTTTCTTGAAGTTTGTTAAAAGCTGATGTATTGTCACAGAGTCCTTCTTGAGAAACTAAGAGTCATTCAAGTAATCGAAAAATTCTGCATCTTTAACGGAAAATTAAGATTCATCACTGCGTCACAAGGGCCCATCAGTACGTCTTGTAAAATGTACTGCATCATAAACATTTCGTATACTTGCAAAGTGAATCCTACCTGAGAAATGGTTTCATATACCACAACTGGTCAGGTACCTGGCGCGGAATCTGATTGGTTCTTACTGGGTGCTGGAAAGGCTGCTTACGAAAGCCAAAGTAGTAACCTAAGTACACAAGAGGTAAGGAGATGCCAAACCAAAGGCACAGTAGAGACAACATGGTTCCAAATGGCACAGCCCCACTTGAATGCTTTCCCCAAATGAAGAAGTTGAGGAAGAAGCACGTTCCAAACACCAGAGCCGGATAAAGCGTCGCTGTCTGCAGTCAGAACAAATTTAAAATGTTTCTAAATATTTCATATTTACATTTCTTCCTGTATGCAGCTAGACAAGTGAGTTCTGGAATACTTTAAAATACTGCATTTATGTATTCAATTTTTAAGCGAATGTGGTTTGACTCTTACGGTGAAATTTTAACTTACATTTTCTTCTGGGGAGAGTAAAAAAAACTTAGAAACAGAAACCGTTCTCCACAAATAAACTGAACACTAAGTGAAAGAACATCTTACAACGAGGAGCATTAATCACTTGTGCTGGAATACTGAGTCTGGTGAGGTGAGATAAGATGGTGTCCATTTTCTGGTCAGCATTAAGGCAGAGTCATGACCACTTCTTGAAACTTTTAGCCCTTATATTTCAAGCTCTCATAAAGAGAAGGCATGAACAAAACACATTTAAATGCCAACATAAAGAATTAGGTAAACACAAAAACTGCGTGAACTGCTTAACCAACACTGTTCAATGGTATGAGGCCCTCTTCACATTCCAAAGTTTGCAGAAACAGAAGGTACATATCGTTAACTTCAACATCTGATTAATAATGATAGCTGTTAGAGTCTTGGAAAATGCTTGCATAGTAAAACTACCTCAAAGAACTCTTACACCACAGCACACTTCTTCAGGGCTAGTAGAATGACCAGAGAGAAAATGTTAAGTGATAAAATTTTTATAATCACACAATTAAATATAATAAGAGGTTCATAAACAATAAACGCACAATTGTTGACACTGACCAGGAAGGCTGCTCGTTTCCATTCCCGGCCCTTCATAGTTTTATAGAGCCGGGCAGAAAAGTATCCCGCGATTAAACCCATAATCACATACAGGAAAATAGCTGCCGTCATGAGAGCACCTCGCGAGGCTGGAGACAGCATTCCCAACATCGCAAAAACTGGAACATGATAATGAGTGCAATGTGAGCTTAATGGCCAATATCAGACACTTTTTTTATGCTGATCCTTACTTAAAGATCAATGATACATACAAATGGTGATAAGTGCCATGAAGAAGATCTGAATGCCGCTGCCGATGACAGCTGCAAAGAGTCGTGAATATCTTGGTGGTCGAAAGACATCTCCATGCACAAGTTTCCAACCAGTTTCTTCAATGGCTTCATCTGGTCCTTCATCAGCATTGTAACGTGCAATGTCACGTCTCAGTGTCCGTACCATGATCATCGTCAGAATTCCTGCCAGGTAGAAGTGGTCATATTTAAGGAAAAGTAAACACAGGGAATTTCATCCAAGAGAGAGAAGAAAAACCAAAAAGAGAAAGAAAGAAAGGAGACAAACATTCTGGTCCTTCTAGAACAGAATGCAACCACAACATGGAACCCCATTTCTTAAAAATATTTTAAAGTTATAAAATTTTTCTGGCCTACAGTTTCCAATACAGATGTGAACATTTCTTAAAAGTCAGTCATTGCCTTCATTCTTACCAGACAGGAAGAATACCACTACAAGGGAATTGATGATGGAGAACCAATGGATCTGAACATCGCTCATTCCGAGGTAAATGTCCCAACGACTGGCCCAACTGACTTCTGACTTTCTCCATTCCACAGAGTACGTGAAGTATAGACGTGTTCCAGATTGCTCATTGACTAGCTGATGCTTGGGTTGATCAGGAAATAAACATGTACCATCATCAGAAAATGTCAGTTGTCCATAATTAATGCTCATGGCTTCAACTTCAAACCCCACAACGCGGTACGTCTCCCTGGAAATAAATATAACATGAACTAACCCAAATCAATGTTAAAACAAAATATTCTAGATGGCTGTCTTCTGGGATGTTGCACTGTGTACCCTGCTAGAAGCCTACTGACATTTCAGAGTGAGTGATCGCCCTGATCATGGAGGCAGCAAGCACCTCTGAAACATCAGCAAATTTCTACTAAACTACATTGTGCAACAACCCAGAAGACATTTGCCTTCATATTCACTACCATGACAACATGAAATCTCACTCAGTACATTCTACTTTCTAAGCATTATTACAGCAAGTCCATTCTCACATAGTTTTCAATTCAAATAAATAAATAAATAGAAATTCCCACTGTGCAAAAAATGTCTAGAGCAATACACAACTTCTGTGAAAACAACAGACAAGTTCAAGATAAGTTTCTTGATGAATATGCAGTTAACAGATTCAGGAACTATTTGGTCACTTCATTATTTTATGCTATACTTACTCATTTCGTGTGTGGTATAACAAGACAAGTTTGAGATGATTGTTGATATACACAGAATTGCCAACTACACCACCCAACCGATAACCATGTTCATACTGAATCTCAGATGTTTCAGGATTCACTACCTTTGTAGCACATGGAAGGTTATCCACAAGTCTGCAAAGGAAAATTTTTAAACACAATGTGTAAACTCACATAATCATTGAAATATATTTTTGCTAACTTATTGAAACATATTTAAATAAAACAATTTCTAGACTTCTAAACACGTTCTGATACTCACAAGTGAACAAAATATTCATGTCTGATGCGGCTGGTAACCTTCTGTGAACTTTCTTCATTCCAGTTCATTGGTTTATTGGGCTCATGACAAAGCAAACGACAATTAACACTTTCTGCCATTTGAACTTCATATGGAGTATTGACAATTCTGTCTCCTCGAAGAACCTCACCTGAAAGTCATTAGTTGGTTATGTTGGTAATGTGGTGTTCCAAATATGCACAATTACAATTTACAGGTGCTAGTACTTGCCTAAATTTTCAGATTTGTAATTAAAAGTTCCATTTTTTGGTAGGCAGAGTGGTAGTGAGTAGTATTCATAAGGAAGCTGTGTATGGGTACTTGTCATTTTTACAGCTTTGACATCAATCCGAGCTCCACGTTTAAACTCTACAGGTGCCACTCCAGGCACATAAAATGCTTCGCTGACTTCCATCCGTATACACATTATGAAAAGCAGCAACTTCCACCAGCGCCACATCTACAAAGCACACGAACAACAAATTTTTGTAACAATCAAATGAAAGCTGCTTATATATTAATTTTACTTTTCTGAGTTCCATTTCCTGACAAGGCCTATATAGTAGTGAAATCCATACCAATAATGCAATACCTTCTTTATCTTTCACGTGGTGTATTAATAATATATACATAACTATTTTTTTCAGGTTATAAATTTATACCGAGTTCTAACAACAGTTAACAGATATTAATATTCGCATTATACAACCATGAAACTTCCTCGTGAAGAAAATATTAAAAATAATAGTTTGTAAATAGTAATTACCATTTTGCACGTACAATCGATGTTATTTTGCTAAATGCTACGTCCCACACCGAACTACAATTTTACATGAAATTTCCAAGATCACCAATACCATCCTCGACTGCCACATAATCGACTATCGAACGAAAATATCACACACATCGGAAAATTAGTGATTTTATGCGTGTATTGTTGGTATCATTCCGAATATTCAAATGGAACTCAGAAATCAACACAGAAACTACAAGCCTAAACTTTTATTCAACAACACAATTGCCGTTAGCAACCACCAATCCATGTAATTTTCTACACAAATCACAATGCAGTTTTAAAGGTTATAATTTCGCGCACGGATCAAAATTCCTCTAGTGCTATTGGCAACATTGACGTGCGTATTATGCTGCCACCTCTGAATGAACCACAATTGCAACTAGGGGTGTGGTAACGGTAGTTCATAGCTCTTATAATTCGATTCCCACGATTTCCTCTCCGTAACTCTTTTATTTGCAACAATACTTTTAGGACCTCACTCCGTGGTCCTCTTGTGAAAAGACTCACACGTGTCCATGAGATGGAGAAATTTATCAGCAGTGTCGCCACAGTTCCTTCAGAAAATAAACTAAAAATTGACAGTAGAACCACGGTTCCGGATAATCTGACGTAAATACGTCTTTGTATTTAAATTATATTTAAATTTATTCTAAATATTTCCTTTATACCCGCTTTACAATTGAGTAAATAGTTTGATTAAGACATTGCTTATTTAACCTGAATTAGTTACGCTTTAGTTGGGTCTGTGGTAGCTGAAATATGTTATAAAATTTGCACACTTTAGAGAATCAACATTTCGTGCAAACACCATATCTATACAAGATTTTGATCTAGTAGTACTACATTGAGGATTTGACATGTTTCCCAACGCATGCTAGCCAACTGTTCCCGGTTTTGGTACCCGCTAAAACATCGTCTGCCACACAATTCTACAGCAAGGTCTGTACTGAACACCGTCTTATTAAACTCCGAAACGTTTTCGTTGCGATGGAATAATCTTATGGCTCCAGGAGCATCCAACATGGCTTCTTCAGGAGTTGTAAAACGACTTTCAATCAGGCCTTTCTCTTCGGGCAAAAGACGATCTTATATAAGATAAGAACTTGTGATATTCTAAAACCTTTTTACCAGCACAAAATTATCTACTCTACGACGCACTTCTTCTACAAGCGATTCACAGCTCAGCTCTTTCCGCATTGTTGACGGCAATAATGAAACAACAATGCCGAGTAAACAGATGGCATAACAATTAGTTTCTTAGGTAAAGGAGTGGATTGCAATACGGTTCATTCAGCATGTATAAGAAACGAGAAAAGAGCCTTACGGCATTCTCAGCCAATATTGTTGCAGGCGTGTGTTAGAAATTCGAATCCTTTTTCTTGACTGAAAACTGTAATAACTATGTAATTTATGCTTACATTAGAATCAAGTATTGTATTTGAGCTATGACGTGTTATACATTCTTGGACCTATGAAGGATCTATGGAATGTAAATAAATTCTCTTTCTCACAAAGGATCTATGGAATGTAAATACATTCTCTTTCTCACGCATCTAAATGGTCTACTCTTTGCTTCTGAACGATTAATTTCGTGAGTCGAGGTAAGAATTACGACTCGAAACATAAAAGTTGTATAGTACAGTTATTCTAACTTCAGTATCTCATGTTGCAACAAGTTACTCGGGAGAAAGATACTGAGAGGATGAAAATAGTTCGCATTATCTAATCACATCGACTCACTGTCAGTTATGCCACTCTAACCATATCACACCGTCAGATTAGTCTTGTTTGCATAAATGTTTAGATTAATTGAATTTTGAGCTTAGCTTCTGTCTGTCTGAAGTAATTCTCCTTTTTATTGACAGTCTCTCAGCAAACTTCAAATCTTTTCTTTACAAATGGAGTCAACACTGACAATTGTTATCACAATTATTCTAGAAACCTCTTGTCAGAGACACGTCGTCTTTGACAGGATACAAAATGCTTTTATCGTTCAATCGATCACTTTCTGCCCACTGTTGTTCCGTTAAAATGTCGAAACTGCAGGTCGATATTTTCTAACTATGGGGACCATCTGTCTTATATCGAAGAATAAGAGATCATTTTAACAACTCCAGTGTTTTACTTTTTTTTACGTTTCTTCCGTCCACAAGATCAGAAGGAAAATGAGTGTTACGGCTTCGCGCCTAGACTTATGATCAATACTATACCGCCGTACACCGCAGGCGGAGAAGTTGCCGATATGTCGCGGCGAACCCAAGGCGACTGTCCACCTGCTCCCGCCTATGCAAATCAGTTAAAGAGAACGTTTTATAAAGCTGCTATTAGCATTGCTTTGAGGTATTGTATTACGCGGCCTGCCTGAGCACTTTTATTCAATATCTTGCAAGAAATAATCGTCTGAAAATTGAATAATATTGTCGAGAAAAAAACAATAAGTGAAACAGACCTCACTCATGGTCACTGCAGCATCTGTCCAAAGCCGTCAGTAACGAAATTATTATTTTTGACGTAAATACGTCTATATTTTAGGGTCAGTGTCATTCGGCAAAAATGTAACGAAAAAGTGTAACTGCATCTTTATGTTACCTAGGAAACGTCATCTGTTTACTCGGCATTGTTGTTACCTATAAAACATTTCATTACATTACATTCAGCTACCACAGACCCATCTTAAGCGTAACTAATTCAAGTTAAATAAGCAATGTCTTAATCAAACTTATCTCAAATGTAAAGCATGTATGAAGGAAATATTTAGAATAAAGCCAATATATAAACTTCCTTTCCGTATAGACGTATTTACGTCAAATTCTCCGGAACCGTGGTTCCACTGAAAATTTCTTTTTGGAATAACCGTCTTCAGCTAAAAAAAACTTCTTGGTAGGAATAAGGATCTAAGAATTCAATTCTAGAGAGCAGTATGTACGGTGCGATCAGGCACTAAAGGGTCTTTGCAAATTCAGTAAGGATAATATCCTTCCTGAAATTGTATACATGTATATATTTTTTTAAATTAATATATAAATACGAAACAAAAACACGCACGAACAAGGTGTTAGTTTTTTAGGAATCATTTATCTTCTAGAAAATTCTGTAAAGGGGCAAGGGACTCCACGCATAAATTCAGGGGTCAAGAAGAAGAGAGTAGCGGCAAGTACAACATTTTTATGGCACGGAAGAACTACAAGGTAAAAATTAACTGCGACAAAATCTTTACTCTGCTTCAGTTCAATTTATGAAGACTCGGAGTTGCACGAATTATTATCATTTGTGCCTTACCTTAGCCAGTTAGTTGCTTCTTACCAAGGAGGCTTCGGTTCATGACCGTGTCAGTCCATGTGAGATTTGCGGTCGATCAAGTTCGCCTGGGACAGGTTTTCCTGCGTCAGTGTCTTTCCACCGCTGCTCCACATTTACTCGCGTATCGTCAGGGGATTGAACTAGCGGCCCGATTCAACAGAGACAGAGTCATTCGTGTCAATTATGGCCTTATGAGTTGTGACTCCATGAGGTGGTTACCAGTATCTTGAATGAATCCGTTGCCTCTATTTCAGGGTAGAATTGCTTTTCTGAAATATTGGTAAACAGCTTTAGGACTAGATGTGGTCAGAACTCACAACTATAATGCACATTTTCGTAACTTATCCTAACATTATATTTGACCACACGAAATCCACTCGCAACATTTTCTATAAAGTTTTCAAAGCTAACGATCGATGGAAATAGCAAACGTTTGTTACGTAATTAAAATGCATTTTAAATGTGCCACAGAAGTGGAATCCAGAATCCCCTGTTCTGAAGGCAAATAATTCACTCCATTTATCCCTCCTGCTGACAATACGAACACATGTTTCATGAACCACCGATTCTCTTGGCTTTTGTATTGAAATGTGACGAAAATGCATTTGTTTCGGACTACAGTTCTGAAACTACGAATTTTATGGAGCACCAGTGGACAAACATCTTCTCTCAGAACTCTTCTGAAGCGACAAGACAGACATACTGAAGAAAAACAAAATTATCAAGGAAACTGACAATTCATTACGGACATACGTAAATTATAATTATTTTTATCATCATAAGCTACAGTGGACGATCAGATGTACAAAATATACAGAGACAAGTTCACGTATGTACAAACGTGGGAAAGATTAACAAGGAATAAAATCAAACTATTTTTAGCCGACTATTCTACACAAAACGTCCACCACATGGAGGGCTTACATATCAATGTTATGATGGGCTATGCATGTAGCATTAGTAGGGAAAACGGTATTATGTTATTTTTTTAATGGAAACGTGGTGAAGAGATATTTTTCACGATCAGAGGACGGAAGGAAACAATAATTGGATTGGCTTCAATTGGCTTTGTGTTAGTGGCACAGAACATTAGAATTCTAACGCTAGAAAAGAAGTTATACAAGCCTTAATCTGTACAAAAGTTTTTAAGCGAACTTACCACATTTCTTCCACAAGAGTACAAACACGTGCTCACGTATGCAGACAACAGAAGACCAACACAGACCACAAATATTTTATTTATTTGGAAGCGGATCGTAAGTATTGAGACTCATGACATCAAGTTACGTGTTACATCGAAAACGGATGCTGTGGGCTGCTGAAAACTTGGAAGCGGTCGTGGGACATTCGAAGTATTTTTCATTTCACGTGAATGAAGATCACGCGGAATGTTTGTCAAAGTTCTGTCTTGCTTTGCACTTACTTTATAAATCAGTGTCCAGTATAAGACATTTCGTTTAATAAATAATTAAAAAGACTGAAGTGGATTTTACTTTAAGATATGGAACAATCGATTCATAAATATATTAAACTGCGCATCCTGACATGAATTAGTTTCTGTTGTATTAAAATACACATCTTCTTTAAGCCTTCAAAATTTCAAATAGACGAAAACACTTACGACGTATTTTAAACTTTACTCACTAATACGATCGGAATATCCATTGTGAAATAAGCACAGTAAATACTTTTAATAACCATTTTACATCAAACCATTTCAGTTCTCCTGAAAATGTTTTACAGATTCAGAGGAACTCTCTCTGAAATGCCACGCTACACCCCGCAAGACGACATTTTGTTATGTTGGAAATTGCGTAGGAACGGTCCCATCAAATCTCTGAGTCTCTAATGAAATTTGAAGTTTTAACTTTAGGTCATATCCAAGACTCCGAATCAAAATCAGCCTTCCATCGCTTACACAGCTGAGCCACATCTCTCTTTCCTTTGTGTGTTCTCCCGGGTCTCGTTTTGCCTTCTATCTGGAACGCAATACGTCGCAGAGAAGGAAGTTTCAGTTTATTCCGTGATGCAGTTCCATTTTCAATTTCTCTAGTACAGCCATCGCATAAAAATTATCCTTACACTTGTTCTGGGCTCACAAGAAATCCAACCAATACGCAGCAGCGACTTTGCAGTCTGGCCACCGACTGTTCCTGCGTCGCCATGAAATTCCAATATCGGACCGCGTTCGAATGACATAAAACCTCTTTACTGCTGGTTTAAAATTTTCACTTGCATTTGAACATACTGAACACGACAGCACACCGTCAGTTCAGTTTTCAGGGACACACGACGAAGATTAATTAATCTTTATTGACTGTGCCATTCAGCGAGCTAGGACATTGACCCCACATGAGAAAGGCCAGTCCTTTAATTGGAGATCAAAATTGCAAAAATATTTCGTGGGAAGAAATTTTACATTTTAATACTAAAACGAAACTGAACGCCTCCGAGGTCGGAGGGCAGTTCTGCTGCCTCAGCGGATGCTCGCACTTGTTTTGCTCTCAGGAATGACGGCGGTCATGCTGCTTGAGCGGGTCACGGGTGGATAAAGTCACCTGACCCCGTCTTCTCCCTCTTTCACAACACAAAGCTCATTCTGCAGGGAGCTCGTCCTTCCAAGGGAGACCGCGGCTTTGGCTGGGCGGTTCGCAGTCCTGGACCGTCGCAGTCAGCTCTCTGGGTTGGCCGTCACACTCAGAGCCTTGGTGGTGGATCGAGTGGAGCTTCGTCTCATGAACGATGACGTGTGATGGTGCCGACTCCCTCTGCCCCTGCCGCCTCCACGAACGGAGCAACAAAAGAGCTCCCGCATTCCCTTGCGAAAATTACGCGACATGAAGGCGTACAAGAGAGGGTTGATTCCGGAGTTGAAGTAAGAGACGAGGAACGTGAGGGGGGTAAAGAGGGATGAAAACGTGCTGCCACCATCGTAATCGGTAGACCAATACTGCCACATCTTGCGGGCGTGGTATGGCAGGTTGCAGAGCGCGAAGGCGAGGACGACCACCATCAGCATGCGTACGACGCCGCGACGCGCTCTCAGTACGTTCTGCGAGGAGGACGCGTGGTAGGACTCCGCTATTCGAGGGCTTGCCACGGAACACGCCGGTGGCCCCACTGCCACCAGAACATCCGCTGCCAACCCGGTTGATTGTGACCTGGCTGTCTGACAGTAGGCGCTTCTCAAACTTTATCCTCAGCGAAGAACTGCCGCCTCTGGAACACACGACCAAACCCGCGCCTTACAAGAGGTTCAGCTTACATTCCAAAGGCAGGGGCATCTTTTAGGATTTGGAGAATTTTAAAGTGAACAGCTTCATAATTTTTACTGCGCGCGTACCCTCTCTGGCGTGACCAAGCAATTTAATAGGCGGATATGTGAAATACAAACAGAATTTTGGACAGAAAACCTAAAGGAAAGAGATGGAAAGTACTTGGGAGAAACATGACGATGGGGGATAATATTCAAATGGACATCAAAGAAATGGGACAGGATTCGTGCCTCACAGTGGTGGTAACCTCTTGTGAACATGAAATTAATCTTCGGGGTGTACAGAATGTAGGGAATCTTTTGACCATCTAATTGACTGGCAACTTCTCAAGTAAGGGTTGGTGAGGGAAATGGCAAGATCTAGACTCTAGATTCTAGAGGCTGGGAGGGTGGGGCGCTGTGTCCGGGACTGACCTGCAGGCGGCGCCGTTGCTCAGGTACTGTCGCTCCAGCCCACGGCTGCTGTGCCACAGGGTCACCGCGATGAGAGAGTACAAGACCATCATGACAGCAAGTGGCGCCACGTACAGCACTGTGAAGTTGATCATGTCGAAGAGCTTGGAGTCGTACTTCCGGCGCTGGGTGATGCAGATGGTCTCCGACTGGCCGTTGGAGAGGTTCGTGGTGACAGTCCCCACCCAGATGAAACGAGGGGACGAGTACAGAGCACTGGCAACCCACACCACCACCATCACCATCTGCAACGGTCGGGCACAATTTCTGTCTGGCAGCAGGAGGCTTCGTTAAGTACATCCGACAATTAGAGGCAGTTAATCCCTGAATATATTCTTAATACTTGAATATATGTAGATCAAACTAACTGGATAAATATTATTCTGGAGCTGCAAATAAAACTAGTAACTCAACAAAGAACTCATATTCAGTTAAATAAGGTGGATTCATTGCCAGAAATGTTTGCTAATGAAAAGTCAAATGGGGCTCTATACAGGGTGAGTCAGAAGTATGTTTACAAACTTCGTGTGCATGTTCCAGGATTAAAAATAAGAAAAAATGTCCCTATGAACATGGGGTCGCAAATGTTTCATTTTCGAAATAATAACCGAAAATAAGTTTCAATGAATTGACTTCATATCAAAATAAATCTAGCTTCCATCAAAGATTTTCATGCAAATTTTGGGCAGGAATTGTTGGCGACATGCTTATTAGTCCACACGTGCTTCCATCGCGTCTAAGAGGACCTTCAGATCGGCGATGCTTAAGAAGACACTTGCCACGTCTCCTTGAAGATGTACCACTGAATACAAGAGGACAAATGTGGTTTATGCACGACAGAGCCCCAGCACACTTCTCCCATCGCGTCAGAGATCATCTCAATGAACAGTTCCCTCAGCGATGGATTGGGTGTGGTGGCCCAGTAACATGGCCACCGAGGTCACCGGACCTACTCCATTGGACTTTTATCTGTGGGGTCACCTGAAGTCCGTCGTTTATGCAACACCCATAAACAATGATGACGATCAATGGGAACGTGTGCAGAATGCATGCCAGATGATTCGAACGAATTCGTCAGCCTTGTGTACGTCGTGCTGGGGCATGTGTGGAGAATGGAGGAACAACCTTTAAGCATCTGTTGTAAAAAACATCCCTGTCCTTATATTTCGTATTAAAGGCATACATTAAAAACATTATGATTGGCTATTATTTCGAAAATGAAACATTTTCGACCCCGTGTTCATAGGAACATTATTTCTTATTTTTGATCCCGGAACACGCACATGAAGTTTGTAAACATACTTCTGACTCACCCTGTATACATGAGTTTGGTGGATTTCAAAAACCAAGCCTGTCACTCCAATGCATAATAGCAATTAACATGACATCGCTATAAAATAAACAGAATTTTTTCGATTGTCTGTAGGAGCCGTTTAATGTGTATTCGTATTTAAAGGGATTTTATATGAGCAGTGGATTCAGCTGGCTTTGACAATGTCCAGCGAAGTGATCTTACGTACATGAAAATTATCATTTTGTTTCCGTAAAAGTCGGGAACTATCCCGACCAGCTAAGCTACTACGATATTTTCCAGGAGGATTATTCTCCACTACGTAGATTAACGACCGTTCAGACCCTCGTTTCGCAACTTCATTGCTGACGTCATGACGTTAACGTACCACAAGTCTCCTTGGGGTAAGGATCTGCTTGCACGTGATGGGATGGATGATGGCGAAGTAGCGCTCTGTGCAGATCACCACCAGGATGAAGATGGATGCTGTGTAGCTGAGACTGTGCACGAATTGGTACATCTTGCAGAGAGCGTCCCCCAGCATCCAGCTGCAACAGACCGTAGGGCTCGGAGTGAGTCTTCAGGTTCTCAAGGCGACGAGTGCGAAGATGACTGGCCTCTGGTGTTTTTTGCGCCGTGCAGTCTGCCTTCATCGTCAGGGTCAGCCGGGTACACGGCGCGCAACATCCCAGAAGACAAGTCACGTTCATAATCGTCACCGTGAGAACCTGAAATCTCACCGTGGAACGTAACTGCAGTTCACTAACCTCTTCGCGAATGAACATCTCTTCCTGACGGTCCGATGTCACACGATCCCTATTATTTATGTTTGCGCAAGATATCTCCGAGCCTCACTGACGCTACAAATACACGTGTCTTTGGTCAGCCAGCCGACGTGAGGGGCCTCGCTCAACCTCGCTCGTTCCATCTTCAATTAGCCCCTTACTGTGACGCAGCTCAGGCTCGCAGATATTTTGCGGTCTACTGCTTTCACACAGACAATCAGAGACAACGTCATTTTCCTTGTCACTTACCACCGAGGACAGAGCGAAATCTGGATAATGTCAGGACCTGAGGCCGGAGGACGACAGTAGTAGGATAGTAAGACGGCTTGAGAAAGTTCATAATAGAAGTTTCATAATCTACCCTCACCAGTGAAGATTATTAGATCGATCGAACCAAGGAGGATGCGATGGAACGCAAAGGTAGGATGAAAGATACGTACAAAATTTTAGTCGGAAAAACTGAAGTGAAACAAATACTTTGAAGACCTAGAAGTAGATGGGAGAACAACATAAAGATAGAGGTGAAAATAAGTGAGGGTGCAGGACGAGGTTAAGCGGTGGGCTCTGGCGAACACGACAAGTGGGTTC